CAGCAAAACAATTTTGTTGAATGTAAGGAACACTATACGGAGTGGATTAAATGTTTAGATTCGGCAGCAGACGATGATAACGCGTCTGTGCGCACGAGAGCTAGTTCGGTACAGTCATCACGTGCAGCTATGCAAAACGCAAAAGCAAAACGGCTTGTTGCAGAACACCGATTAAAAATGTTGAGAGCAAAACAGAGACTTGAACGGCAGCAAAAGGAAATAGAGAATGAACGTGAACTATTAAAACAGGAGAGCGAGATAGAAATTGCTAGAATTGAGGAGTCAGTTTTTACTGAGAGTAACGAAGAAATTCCAGTAAGTGCACGAATTACGGAACAGACGCATCAGGAAAATGAACGTGACATAAATGCTTCTACTTCCGGTCACAAAAATGTACCACCTGATACTTTAGCTAGTGCAGACTTTCATGTGTTTTTACAGAACAGATTTGATTGTGAGTCCGTATCTAAGGTTACAGAACAGTCTATAAAATTCAATGGTAAGACAGACAATACCTTAACTTCCGGTTCGCGTGATAGCAGTAGTTCAGCATTTGAGAAACTAGCAACAATATTACAAGAAGAGTTTAACTTACCAAAGCCCGAATTATTAACATTTAATGGTTCTGCGATAGATTATTGCAAGTTTATCAAGAATTTTGAGACAAATGTGGAGTCAATGTAAGTGATGATAGACTTAGATTAAGCTACCTTATTAAATATTGTAATGGTGAGGCGAAATCATGTATTGAAGATTGCGTATTGTTAGATTCAAATGAAGGGTACAGACAAGCTAAAGCTATTTTACATTCACGTTATGGTAGGCCACATGTAATTGCCAGAAATTACATTGATAAACTGTTGTATGGCCCTCAAATTAAAGCGTCTGATATTGACGAACTATCTAAGTTAGCATTAGATATGCTAAGATGTCATATGACCTTTTCCCAATTAGGTTTTGTTTCTGATGTAAATAATTCAGAAAACTTAAGACGAATTGTTAGACGTTTGCCTATGCATATGCGAACCAAGTGGGCAGATATTGCACATACAATCTATGAGTGCGACAAAGAGCCGAGATTCTTTGCTTTGTTGAAATTTGTTGAAGAAAGATCACGTGTTGCTTGTTCGGTATATGGTATTGATATTGTTAAAGAAAATGTACCATCCCAAGTAAGAAAACAGCCCAATAGTCAGCCTAGTAATTATGTTAAAGGCAAAATAACTACCTTGTCGTCATATACTGAAAGTGATAAACACAAGAACGAAAGAAAATGTTATTGTTGCTCTGGTTCATGCTTAGACTTAGCATCATGTCATAGATTTAAGAAAATGACTTTAACAGACAGAAACAAATATGTTGTTAAGAACAGATTATGTTTCAATTGTCTTAAACGCAATCACAGGTCTAATGAATGTAGGAAAGAGAAATCATGTACTATACCTGATTGTAGCAGCAAACATCATACATTATTACATAGCTGGTTCCCGGTAGGTTCTGATAAGACTGTAACGCAACCTTCAATTAATTGTACGGCCACAAATGGCTCATTTTCTAAAACATGTTTGGGGATTATACCTGTAACTGTTAAGGGTAGGGACGGTTACTTCTGTCAAACATATGCCCTGCTTGACGATGGTGCAGACAAAACCCTGTGTGACGAAAAGCTTATACAGAAGCTGAATATATCTAGTAGGCCAGTTACTTTCCAGATTTCAACTGTTAATTCAACAAGGAACGCAATACATGGAATAGAAGTTGATCTAACTGTGAGTCCTATTTCCGGTGAAAGTGAAGGGAAGCTTCACAATGTTTGGACAGTAAAACATTTGCCTATTTCTACGCGATCTGCAGCTACTGCCGATGATATTAGAAATATACAATATTTAAGTGACTTGAATATTCCGAACGTGAACGTTAATGAAGTCATGTAACTAATTGGCACTGATACACCGGTAGCACATATTCCCCTAGAGATACGAACAGGAAGTAGTAATGAGCCATATGCAGTGAGAACGCAACTTGGTTGGGCAGTTCGTGGACCAATACCATACAATAGTTCAAAACATAATAAAACAGACAACAGAAGAACGCCAATAAACATTCATTTCGGTCCGTCAAGTGACGCCATACTACAACAACAACTTGAACGTATGTGGACGTCAGACTTAAATGACGCATCCTATAATGAGAAAAATTCCATGTCAGTTGAAGATAAGAGAGCACTTGGAATTATGGAATCTACACTTTCTCATGTTAATGGACACTATGAGATGGGATTATCATGGCGACAGGATGACACAAAATTGCCGAATAATTTAGTGCTTGCGCATGCGCGATTGAATCACCCGAAAAGAAAACTTTCTCGTGACAATGTGTTACATGAGATGTATACCAAAACAATGACAGACTATATTGATAAAGGATTCGCAAAAGAAGTGACAAATAAAGATACGAACTCAGAACAGATATGGTATTTACCCCCACCATCCTGTAGCAAACGTGAATAAACACGGAAAAGTGCGTGTTGTATTTGATTGTGCGGCAAAATATAAAGGTATTTCACTAAATAGTCAACTTTTACAAGGTCCTGATATGATGAACAGTCTTGTAGGCGTTTTAACCAGATTTCGACAAGAAAATGTAGCTCTTTCCGCTGACATAGAGGCAATGTTTCATCAGGTACGTGTATGTGAGAAGAACTGTGATGCCCTACGTTTTCTATGGTGGCCTGGTGGAGATTTATCTATAACACCCATGACTTATTGTATGAAAGTCCACATATTTGGAGCAACTTCTTCTCCGAGCTGCGCTGCGTATGCGCTGAGAAGAACTGCCATTGACAATGCATAGAGATTTGAACCTGCAGTATTATCAACTGTAAAGAGAAACTTTTACGTAGATGACTGCCTGAAGTCTGTAGAATCTGAAGATAAAGCTGTTAAACTTGCAGCAGATTTACAGTCCCAGATGAGCTTAGGTGGCTTCAGACTTACAAACTAAATAAGTAACAGTCGGAGGGTACTTAATACGATTCCGGAATCTGAACGTGCGCCGACGGTCGTCAGCCTCAGCCCTAGAGACGTACATGTAGATAACATTTTGCTTATGGTAGACAATAGTGTTCCTAGAGGACAGTTGCCACTAGGCAGAGTAACCGAAGTCATTAAGGGTAGGGATGGGCATATACGTAAATGTAAAGTTCAAACTAGGAGCTCAGCTATGATAAGGCCAATCACAAAGTTGTGCCTTTTAGAATGTTCAGACTAATTATTGTATTACGCTGAAAATATTTCACAAGATTACGTTACTGTTTAAAAGGATACATACTGTGTATTAAATAAATTGTTTTAACAGTAGCAAGTACTTTAATATCATGCATGATTTATTGCAAATATAATCATTCTTATGAACATGAAGTTCGTTGCAATTTACATTTTTGTATCGATAATATATTGTTTATTGATATTAAATGATTTGATGAAATTCAGATATTTCATGGAGGGCACTGTAAGAATCGTTTATTACCGATTCTAATTAAAATATATTTCTTACGTTAAACGTTGTTTGGCGCCAATTTATTTAACGTTACGCGCTGAATAGTTTAGCGCGTCATTTTGACGTAATTGTTTGTTATGAATTTTAAAAGGTAACTTCCGTTATATGTAGCGGCGTTAAACGTTAAAGCTGAAACTGTTTTTTAAAGGTTTCGATGTGAAAGACATTATAGTCGGTATGATAGCTGCTTAAATTATTTTGATTTATTTATTTGTTAACGGATAAAAAGAATTTTCTAATGAAGTATTTATTAATTTTAATCAATTGTTACGATTATTTATTTTATGGATTTTAACTTTACTTCTGTTTATTAAGATTCTTCGTCATAGGAAATAATTATTCAATTATTCTATTCTATTATTTATTTGTTAAGTTTATATCAGAAATGAATGTATTAGTTAATTACTTTATAATTTGTTTCAGAGAATCGCTTTGTTTATGCTGATGTGTGAAAATAAAAGATATATAGAAGTGCATACTTAGAAAAGTCTAGTTGTTATCCGAAATCCTTTACAAAGGGTGTGTTGTAATATGCAAATTTACAATTTATATGCATTTATTATTCTTCAATGATTTTTATTATTTTAAATGTTTCTGGAATTTTTATATCAATTTAATACCAGTGAGGCCTTTCGATTTTGAATTAATTGGTTATCCATTTAAGAAGAATTATTATTTTGATAAAGCTCTTCACTTTGGAGCATCTATAAGCTGCATTACATTTGAACGATTTGCTAGGTTTTTATAATTCTGTGTAACAATAGAAATTATATTTAGACTGTGCTCTCATGGCAAATCTTAACATTTTAATAAAAGCTAACCACGCCCCCGGCCGTTCTTATGGAATTTGCGATGCTCTTTATTGCTTTCAGTTAACCAAATTCAGGGAGTTGGAACCACAGGCAGATTTAAACCCATGTCCGGTCCCGGCTTTTCTTTGAAATATCTTCAATTAAGAAGTGGAGAGCTTCTTTGCAATGGGATCGCAGCTAACACAAACTTACTTTACCGGTATATCACTGTGTCAGGTCCTTCGCTAAAATAAGTAATCTGTACAACATGGCAGAAGAATTGCCTATTCCAAATAAGTACGTGATTTTATATATGACCTATTGTTTTGAAAGGGGACTTCGCCAGAGGAAACTTTATCGCCAGCCACACCCCAAATGACTAATATTGATTACTATGGTTGTTAATTTATCCTTCGTAAATGGCATTTGTCAGTATTTTGCCATACTTTTTATACTTATATGTTTGGTTGCTTTTTTTCTGCCAGATTTTTATTCTTTTAGGGGCAAGCTGTTGTTTCTTGTGCAAGAAATTTTACATCCATTCCTTGTCACTGCTTGGTTCCAGGAACGGATTCGAGAGTGTTTCAATAAACTTATAGCTTCCAATAGAACTGAAAATAAATTTGTATAAACTAAAAAGCAATAATGAAACATATTTCATTCTTTTCATCCATAGTGAAACAGAAAAGTACGTTAACATGTAATAAAACATCATAAGCAAAGCATGCACGTTAATGAATAATAAATTGCTACTATTGCTAAATGAGTCATATTGTAGTTCATCTTATATCAGCATGTATGCACTATTCAAGATTAATTATGATTGATAAAGTCTGGCACCTCCTCTTCGTTAAATTTTGTAACACTCTCTATCCAATCATAGAACATGCCAACGTTTGTGTAAACACCGTAGTATTTATCCACATCACATCCCATGCCCCAGGAAACAATCCCAGTGAGAACCCATCTTGTGCTTGTTGCCATGATTAAGCCGCCGCCATTGTCTCCTTCGCAACTGTCTCCAGTTCTACCAATCTTTAATTGGCCAGAAAAATATATACTGGTAAAATATATAAAAGGGAACCACAGGCAAATGAATGACAAAAAATATCATATTGATTTTATTTACTCAAATCGCGCTACCAATGAAAGTTTTTATAGTTTGCAGCATATTTGTGTCTTGAAATGTAGCGTATTGTTTGCTTGTTAAATTAAGTTCAAAACCAAACAGAATCACCAAATTATGTTTAAGAAAAGTGTAACGCTCTCTATCCAATCATAGAACATGCCAACGTTTGTGTTACAGCTAAACTTTGATTAAACAATGGAATTCATTTAGCATATTTGTGCTTTTTATGCCCCGGGCATATAGTAATTGTTCCGTCCGTCCGTCCGTCTGTTCGTATGTCCGTACGAGGTTAACCTAGAACGGCTAGTTGGATTTTTCTTTAGTTCTACTTGTACCAATGGCTTCTAAGTTTACACATTTACTAATCAATACAAAGTTCATGATCTGGGCAAGTTACATAACTCTGGCTTTCATATTTACCAAGTAATTGCCCTTTTCAGCACTTTGAAAATGAATAATGGTTAACCTAAAACGGCAAGTTGGAAATATCTTAAGTTTTTTCTATACTAATGGCTTTATAATTTCCACACTTACTTATCAATACAAAGTACATGATATTGCCAAGTTATATAACTGTGTCATCCATATTTCCCAGTTATTTCCCTTTTTTTCACTTTGAAAATAGGGCCTTGTCTGGTTAACCTATTTCGGCAAGTTGGATTTATCTTAAATTTCTTCTAATTGCTGAATTTCTTTAATGATATCTTTCATATTTATTAGGTGGATACCTTTGATGGTCCTCTAATTTTTTGTTGAGTAAGCGGTCTCTAGGGTCAAAGTCAAGGTGACTGGTTTAAAAAATAAATATAAACATTTTTGCTCATACAGCCTTTATTTTTTAGTTGATGTCTTAGTTTAATACACACATGCCAAGGGAGGTCCTCCTTCTTTGGGTGTAGTAAGGGGTCATTTGGGTCAAGGTCAATGTTACGAATGTCAAGGTCACCAATGTTAAAAATAGATTTTTACATTTTACAGGTGTATTGACCTTATTCTATAGACAGATGTTATTTATAATTGATAGAAACATAAACTTTGATGGAGTTAGTGGTCAGTTGGGTCAAGGTCACCAGTGCTAAAATAGATTTTTACACTTTTGCCCATACAGCCTTTATTTAATGACAAATATATGTTATATTTGGTAGAATGATAACTTGCATGGTATTCATCCTTTTGATTGGGGTAAGGATCAGTGGGTAAAGGTCACTTGTGCTAAAAATAGATTTTTTTCACTTTTGCCCATACAGTTTTTATTTATTGACAGATGTATTTCATATTTGGTAGGAAGATAACTTGCATGGTATTCTTTCTTTGGATGGAGTAAGGGGTCAGTTGGGTCAAGGTCACCAGTGCTAAAAATAGATTTTTACACTTTTGCCCATACAGTCTTTATTTATTGACAGATGTATTTCATATTTGGTAGGAAGATAACTTACATGGTATTCTTCTTTTGGCTAGAGTTAGGGGTCAGTTTGGTCAAGGTCACCAGTGCTCAAAATAGATTTTTACACTTTTGCCCATACAACCTTTATTTAATGACAAAATTAAATATTTCATATTTGGTAGGAAGATAACTTGCATGAAGTTGAATATTTTTTGGCAACTTATATTTTCACAATTACAAAATGCCATGTCTTTGTCAAGCTATATAACTTGTGTTTACATTTTTTTGGCAATTTTTCTGTCCATAACTGAGTGAATGGGTAAACATTTTTTGAAATATTGCTACTGACAAGAATCTGAGCTAGGGGCATTTGTGTTTAACAAACACGTTCTTGTTTTTTTTTATAAAAATCAATGAAATAGAAAATATCGACAAATATTGGTTCATATGCTAGATAATATCATTATAATCATGTTTGTGCTGTGTTTTTTATCCGCAATGTTAATGAATGATTTGAGAAATGGATATAATTAATTTTAAACATCACTAGGCTATCAGCTTGAAATCAATACGTGTCCTACACACACCTTACCAAATATAATATTATAATACTTACATTACTCCCAGCACAAAACATCGTGTCAGTTAGCCTATGACGATGATGGTCCATTGATTCAAGACACGTTTCTCTGTCCACATACGGAATATATACATCCTATAATATGAAATAGGTAAATGTTATAAAATGAATTAAACTAAAAATATGAAAAACAAGATCAACAAGGAAGGGCGACTTGCAAAAAAACGCAACCCAAGCACAAAACATTGTGCCTGTGAGTCTATAACGTTAATTGCCCATTGATTTCTCTGTTATAAAATGTATTAAACTAAACCATATGAAAAGCAAAACTTTAGCTAAAAAAAAATCCTTTTAAAATTCAAATTAAAATAAAAAAGAAGTAATTTCAATCATCATTTAATATATTACTTTTTGATTGTTGATGGTTTTAAAATAAAATTTGAGATTGGCGCATACAAATTAGAATAGTGTTTTTATGATGGCTTTAGCTACAGCTTTCTTTTTAATATCACGGTTTTTGTTTTGGTATGAACGCATTTGTAATTAGCACTGTAGTACTTGGTTGCTGAGTTTCGGTACCGAATCGATATAATATGATCTTTAACCCGTTCAGAAATTAATTCATAAACATTTATTTTGCAATTGTTTTTGACATGTGCGGTACATAAATATGCGTTGTTGTCATTTACATATAGAGGTTTTGCAATTTCTATACATATACGCATGTCGACCTGAATATCTCACGTTAGTCTGTTTATCACTTACCCGCACCACCTTTTTGTAAAATCAATACGATAAAAGCATGTATAAGATACACATGAATGAGCCATTCACATAAAATAAATTACCATGACGTTAGTTTCAGTGGTATAATGTTAATGCAATGTTATATAGAGGATATTTGTTTAGTTCAGTGTAAGATCGGAATATATTTCACCGAGTGAGCACCAAAAGGTATATTTCACGAGTGGCGCAGCCACGAGTGAAATATGAACCTTTGGTGTTCACAAGGTGAAATATATTTTGATCTTACTCTAAACTAAACAAATTTTCTTTTTATTATATGCAAAGAAACGTTTTAAAAAGACATTTAACCTAATACTGAATCAAAAGCGCGCCAAATAATAATACAACGTGACGTCATTTACGACGTCACGTCATTAAAATGGTACCCAGTTCTGTGCACGCTGGTATTTCACTGAAACAACGTAAGGGGCTTAAATTCAAAACAGTGAAATTATCAAAGTGGTAATTTCACTGTTTCAAGCAGTGAAATTACCAGTTTTTATATCACTGATATATTTCTATAAACCACCGAAAAGCATGTAATAAACTAGTATAATGATTAAGTAAAACATTATATTTTTACATAAAGCTAGAATTTTCGAAACTTTTTGAATTTATAACATTCACCAAGAATGTATTTTTAATGCTCCTGATAAGATTACAATCGGTAATTTGATCCCTTAAATCTTGGAAAAAAATCATAACATTTTCTGTGATCAAAAACGTCTTTATATTTAATACATGAACAAAGTAATAATATAACATCTTGTCTTTGAACTGACTGATAGGGTCACTGAACCCCTCTTTTTCTGCTTATATAAATCATTTTAATACATTAATACAATCTAATTAAGTATCACTAACCAGTATTCGACAATAACGGACAAAAATCTTACTCTTTGAATCTAAGTATTCATATCTTAAATAATTACCATCAGTCTCTTCGGCATCGATCTGCCTCTTGACGTTATTGCACCGCAGCCAGCGACTTTCCCAAACACGCGACCAAAGGTGCCACCTAGAAACACCCTGTCATTGTATTCCGCCGGTTCAATACATATAGGACGTATATTATCGTTGTATTCAACCGGACTGTCCAGTTCTATCAATGCTATGTCATTATCATAAACTCCTCTGTCTTCGTAATCTGGATGAATCGTAAAACTTCGTACGGTTCTTCTTATCCCATCATTCTGAGTTCCTGTACAATCTGTTGTGCCTGAATTCATTCATACAAATGTTCATTAAATGTTGTTTTTTTTTCTCACGTATGAAACATATATCTGTAGTATAACATATTTTCAATATATTGAAATATCAAATATTATCCTTAATCTATATTTATATTTAATGTTGTGAAAATATATGCTTTATGTTCAATAATTATTTAGAAATATATTTCTGTAATCCATTAGCTCACAAGTACTGAACAAGATGGTCCAGCTGTACTTGATTTTTGAACCTACAACACCTTGAAAAAAAACCATAAATTTTATTTTGTATGAAAGAAAGAAATTGTTTGTGACCAGTATGTACAACTTCAATATGCTTCATTTTCTTTTCTATCACTTGAATGATATAACAAAATACATTTTACCCATTAAAATTTCCACATTTTCTGCCGAAAAAGGAACACGAAATGCTGCATTAAAGTCAATGATACAGCTAGCAGCAGTTATGACGTATCGCTGGGATATCAAGGTACCACCACAATATGCTTGTTTCCTATATATTGCCTCCTTGAAATGTAAAAACTATTTAAATCTTTAGTCAATTAAGTTTCGTATTGATTTCATTTTTTAACAATAATGTTGCATGACTTTATGTTGTGCTATCTAGGGAAATACGTAACAATAAGCATGCATTATTTGCTGTTTGATAACGCGGGTAAAGTGACTTCTCTTATATGACATTTATTTGTACCAAAATTAGTTCAAATCGGCATTCTTGTGTATGCTTTTTATAATTTTGGTGTCAATTTAAAAATTCTTAAAACGGAGGAATTCCTCGAAAGCATTTTGGGAAAATATATATGAGTTACATGATGAATAAGGAAAACTAGAACATCTTTCACGCCTCTAAATTGACTCAGCATTTAATCGTCATGACTAAAAGAGATAATATGCCAAAAAGACATAATATAATGACAAAACTGAGTTAACGAAATAGATCTGTCACTTGACATTTTCAACTGCTGTTGTGAAAATAGCAAGGGGGTGTATCAGAAATAAATAAATTTATTTGTCTAAAAATTGTCTAAGCCCTTTTGCACGAGTATAACAAGCTAAAACGTTTACAGTAATTTTATGATCAACAAGAGAATAAAAGCATGCCATCATAGAAGCCTCACACCAAGAGAATATATTCTTGCATAGCAGACTGGCGCTTCCGTGAGTTTTACTCATGCTTAAATTTCATCTGGCATGGGGTGTCGCATGCCATACAATTATGAATGAACAGCGTTAAAATGACTTCATTTTGGAATGGAACTATGTGCTAATGGATGATGTCATTTCGTTGATGTTATTAAAGTTGTAAATTCATATGATATTTTAAAAAAATAGTTATTGATTTAATGACACTAATTACCATACAAATATCAAGTAAACAATTTTAAATATCAAATGATAAGGCAGCATATGCACGAATATCTGACATATGTTTGCGGTTCAGATCGGAATATCCGTCTCTCGGGAATCCGCCCATGGGGGGTAAGTCAGCAAGCCTCATTACCGACCGGTAACTCGGCAAGCCTCATTACCGCCCAATGAACCGCAACATAATACTAGTAGCCAATCGTCACGTTTATGTGTAAACCAAAAACGTTTCATTGGCTTAGCCAACATCATTACGTTGCCTGTTGCCATAATCATCCGTCATCGATCTCGGGTTAACCAACAAGTTTAATATGTGTATCTTTGAATGTAGAGTATTGAGAGTGGCCATTATCCAAGGTCGCTTTTATCTACGTAACAGATGGCAAATCTAAAAAATTGACTACAATAAATAATTTATTATACTGAAAAAGACGCCTGAAATCTTTTCTCAATATCCGGCATGTATACATGTATAAAACGTTATACATTCTTACATCGAATCATCTGGGGGTATATATACATGCTCATGTGCAATGTCCTTCTTAAATCGTTTTTAAAAACATCGATTAAGTGCTGAATTAAACCTTGCAATCTAAAATATTTTAAAAATAAGTTCGATCTAGGGTTATTAGTAAACAGTAACATACCCCTGTAGTTCTAAACGTAACATGCCATGGATGCATTCCAGGTTGTACCTCTAATCCCTTTGATATTCTTGATGAAATCATAGCCTCTTCATGAATGGATATACCGCAATCTTATATATCAACGAAATAAACAGTTTCACATTTTTATCTGATTTAATTGATATCTCTATTAAAAAGGGCATGTATTCAACTCCATCAAAATTTATTGTATTGCTATATACACAATTTAATGAAAGTAAAGATCTAAACAAGAAATACCAAAATGACACAGATTCCCATCTTAAACAGAAAATATAATATGAATGTGTATATGTATATATATTTTCATAAATTACGGTAATAACAATTTACATTGGATACAGTTGTGTTTGTGTTTTTTATTTAAATACATTTCTATTAGTCGTTTTGTAATTCACATTTTTGTAACAAAATACTGTCATTTTTGTCCATGTACATTAACATCAGAAAATTGAAGACTTTGGTTCTTTGAATACTTTACATCAATGAAAATACATGTATTGTTATACATGACATAAATCATATAGTGTGATGACTATCAGAAACCGAATTTCTTACATCATATCTGTGTGCACTGTAACACCGCACTTTGGGGTCAAACGCACTTTGGGGTCCGACCCCAAAGTGCGTTAAGCTTCGCACCGCACCTTGGGGTCAAACGCACTTTGCCCCCGGGGGAGTGCGGGTTAAAAAAGAATCGTGCTTTGATGTTTGCGCTGTTCCGGGGCATAAGGCAGAAATGTTGTTATCTGAGTATCCCCCGCAGGTCGAAGATTTTACCAGTGGTCGGCTTGGTTTAAAGTCAATGCCCCCCTCCCCCCGCTATTCTCAGGGGATGGGGTTGAGTGTGGCATATTCATAATAATAACTGATCACCAATTGGGTCAATTGTTAAGCACATCCAGATAATGTGCAGAACTTATATGCAAGGTGTGCCGGCTCAAGATCGGGGGACACACCTACAGGTCAAAGGATTAAGACTTGGGTTTCATGTCCGCTCCTTATCCTCAAACCCCCATAAAGGATTTTCAGGCGGTTTGTGTAAAATGTTAACCACATCGAGACAATATGCAGAAAAGTGTTTTTTTTTTTTTTTGATACCTCCAAAATGAAAATGTTGGTATTTGCAAATGGCATTTGCAAATGGGGTACTGTAATTTACAAATGGCGAAGTGTTTAAAAATGGCGTTTTACAAATAGCGTTATTATCCAAACCGCTACTTTGCAAATTGCGTCATGTAAAAATGTGTACGAAAAAACAAACAAAAATAAAATATGTACAAAAAACTAAAATAAAATATGAATGCAAAATTAAAAACGAATATGTATGCAAAACTAAAAAAAAGTATGCATTCAAAACTTAAAAAAAAATACATGTATGTACTACAAACAAAACAAATATGTACGAAAAACAAAAAAAAAAGTATAAAAAAAATGCAAAAGTCATTTTTATGCCACCGTTCAAAATACTCTAGTACAGACATTGTGTATTCCTATGATTAAAAGATGCTGCTAAAATTGTCCCGTTTGTAATTTACTTGATAACTTTTGGTGCCATATTGAGCCCCATTTTAAATATGTTGGGAATGAAATAAAATACAGTTAATATTTTTTTCCAAAGAACTATATACTCTATTGCAATGTTCTGGTGAAACATCAAGTTTTTCGATCGGACTATAAATAGTGATTTTACAAATACATTATTAAGCTTATCAACAAACTTAAGGGTTTTTGTAAGCTCCGTAAAAACCGTTCGCCAGAGGCTTTTTTAATGGGAAATCTTACATACTTCGTTAGAAAGAGCAAACATGAATTTTATATTGTTAAATAATAGTATCAGAAAATGTCAGATTACCTGATTAAAGTAGCGATAAATTGGGATTATTTGTCATAAAAGTGGTCAAAACAGTGTAGTATTTGACTTCCATATAAAATACTAATTCACTATAACTGTACTCATCATTGCAAAAAACCAACAGATGAAAAAGATGGTTCAGGTAATTGGCCAATGTGTATTTTTTGGATAAAATAGAAGAACATCAAAATAAAAAAGCTTTTAAGAACAACAAATAAAAACATAATGGGCCTTTAAAACGTTATTTTTAACCCTCGGGGGGGGGGGATCGATACCCCACAATCCCCTCTATACCCCCAGTGAGAGAATTTTACATTATTCTGAAGCTCCGCTCTTAATGTGCGACTACTTAAGTAGTTGATATTTTTAGGACTACTACCTAAAGCCGCATCTACACCTAGTCAAGTTTCTTATATGTCACATTTAGCTAAATAAATGGCTCTTTCAACATATTATCAGGCACATTTTTTTTACTGAAATGTCTTACTAAAATTGCCCAGAATTTATACCTTTGTCTATGCTAACATTATCATATTTCAATAAAATGTGTAAATAAAAAACGTGAAAATATTCCATTTAGCTAAAAACAATGGAGTTAATGAAAGGTGTACATTCTTTTCAAATAAATGGAAATTTTGAGAAAAAAATATTTTAAGCTTTATAATTGATACAAATTCTTTATAAGGTGATTTATTTGGTGAAAGTTTTTCACTTACTAATTAAGACCATTTAAATCCCTATTGATTCTACTATAGTCCAGGGCACATGTTTTACGTCTTTTTAATACCTTGATATTGTTTACCATTCGCTTTGACAACAATATATTATTTAAAACATTATGAACATTAATTTTCTATGACCCCAAAGTGCGGTCGTTTGCCTGATGTTAAAAAATACATTTGTACCTGTTTAACGCACTTTGGGGTCGGACCTCAAAGAACGTAACGCACTTTGGGGTTGGACCCCAAAGTGCGTTTGACCCCAAAGTGCGGTGTTACAGTGCACAATATTCTGAATTTTAAAGTAGCACTGTTATGATGTAATAAAGACACAAAGCAATACTCATTGCGTTATAGAGTGTCACACTATTCAAATACAGATTTCAAATAATTTGTAGTAATTATAATTGATTGTTATTAGAAATGAACTGTTTATACTAAGTAAAACGAATATTCTTTCATTAATCGGACATATATCTATAAATTATGTGAACTTTAATATCAATATTTGGAAAAAGGTAATAAAATGACTTAACGAAATGCGCTTTAAGTAATGTAACCTACTCCGTAAATAATGTAGTTTATTTAGCACAACAACAATTTATAATTGACAAGGTGTAATTTAATCACCAACGTCACGCGACATGCGTATTCAAACCACGATGTAGATAAAAAGATTAAGAGGAACACATATTGACTTTAAGTTATTAAAGATTATCAAGATTTATTACCTTTGAAGCTTTTTGAGGCAATATTACATTTAAATTATGAGCGAAAAAAAAAAGCGTAAATGAAATACGAGATGTAAACAATTAAAAAAAAGATTTTATTTTTTTTATGTTAAAATTACTATATAAGATACGTTGGCACAAGGGTGACATGTGTGTATTTTTATTTATCTCGTGGCCACGAGATAGCTAAGTCGTGGCCACAAAATACTATGACGTGGCCACGAGTTACTTAGTTGTGGCCACGAGATAGCTAAGTCGTGGCCACGAGATACTTTGTCGTGGCCACGAGTTACTAAGTCGTGGCCACGAGATAGCTCAGACGTGGACACGAGATACTTTGTCGTAGCCACGAGTTACTAAGTCGTTGGAACGAAATAGCTAAGTCGTGGCCACGAGATAATTAACCAATCAGAATACACTATATATATTATGAATATTTTAAACTTAACAACTATCTTTTACTTGCAACATTTATCTTTGAAATTACTGAAGATTTTCACTTTAAACTTGTCTTTAGAATTATATTAGAAAGTCACCTTCCAAGGCCCATCAGACATTAATTTTGACTATAGCTCTTTGTTGGGACAATAATGTGATCGAAATGGTCAGTTTGTACGTACTACGGCCTGTAAACCTTGTTTATAAAGGAGAAGGAATAAGTCCTGGTTTATTTTATTTTGAAAGGACATTGTCCATGGACAGTAGATAGCCTAAAAGGTAAACTCCTTGTTTGATGAATAATGTAGAAAGCCATGGTTTATGATACCCAGAAAGATCATTGGATCTGATCAGTAGATGACATCTAATAATTTCGAGGTCATTGGGTCAAAAATCAGGGTCACGGTGACGCTAAATGTAAAAGTATTAACCAGTCAATAAGTTGTATAAATGGCACTTTTATAGGCTAGTGAAGTAGGGATATCCTTGTATTATATCACATGTCTAATTAATTAGGGAAATTCATATAAATGGTTGGATATTTATCTCGTGGCCACAACTTAGCTATCTCATGGCCACGACTTAGTAACTCGTGGCCTTGACATAGTATCTCGTGGCCATGACTTAGGTACTCGTGACCACGACTTAGTAACTCGTGGCCATAACAAATTATCTCGTGGCCACGACTTAGCTTTCTCGTGGCCACGACTTTAGTAACTTGTGGCCACGACATAGTATCTCGTGGCCACGAGATAAATGAAAAACAGGCACATGGCACCTTTGTACCACCGTAATAAGAAGTAGATGACAATACATCATTTATTATTTTCATTCTATACTACAAATCATAATACACAAATGAACATTGTTGTAGTTAAATGTAATTCTCGAAAAACGTTCAGTCGAAAACATGAACAAATCACAACCATTTAATTATTGATCGATATTGGTACTATGGTTTCTTTTTGATAGTGTAAAACGAGATAACCGCAACACGATCGAAATACAGACAAGGTAATTCAAAATATAACATTAACCAAATATTCATCGCCAATATAAAATACATGTCTTTTAAGGGAAAATATAAACTAAAACTTTACACATTTATAGAAATTGTAGATATCATGAATAATCACGCAATGTACATTCGCGCCTATAATTATTATCCCTTCACTATTATTAATGAAATCCCTGCTTTGAAAAAAATATATAATTATACAATGCATATTATTAATGATATGTAACATAGCCTGTTTATAGCATTTTTCAATTTTGCCCCCCCCCCCAAATCTTTCTTAAGTTTTTTTTTCTCTGCACCCTTTTACCTTCGTAGACGAAGGCCGATCTTTAACTTTGTCGGTTTCCTATGATTTCCTATTTTGAATTCTATTTAAATTAATACCCTGTGCCCTGTCATATTTTTGTTAGGTATCCTGCTGGGCGTCAAGTAGGTAGTTCTGTGTCGCTGGTTCGTATTTTTCATATTTAGAATACATTGTAACAAGAAAATCAACACATGTAATAGTGTTCTGAAAAAAAAACCTAAATGGATAACAATATGAATCTAAGTTTTACAAATCCTTATAAATTGAAAATAAAAACACGTACATGAACGGAAAGACTTTACGTCTACAACCTGAAGTTTGCCTTCCTTATAACTATAGCAACCGTTTCCGTATTCGGCCTCGCACTTGTAAACTCCCGCGTCTTTCATTCCAACGTTTAATATACGTAAGTAGTTATGAGCCATTTTCTGTCAAAGATAAAATATTTGTTTTGACCAATACAATAATGAACAATTTGTATTGTGGATAAATTATATCAAACTGTTTTGGGTGGAAATAAAAAATAAACATAGGGCAGTCAAGACATATACCACGCAGTTGCTCTTGTTGTTACACAATGAACACAAGTGACTTTTCTCGTGTGCTGTCATGAAGGTTAAATTTAGCTTGAAAACAGACCGTTTATTTACAGTTACACTTTTTGCTGATTTCCTCGGTGGTCATTTAAAACAGGTGCGATTTTAAAGGTATTGAATTTATGTAAAAATAAAAAATAGTGGTGTCTATAAGATGAATTCAAAGTTTGGATAAAAACATTTACATTTAACCGTTAGAAAGAAACGATATTTGTTTCGATTTCTTATTTCGTTTTGAATATGCAAATTGCTGAATAATAATAATAATAATTATTATTATTATTATTATTATTATTATTATTATTATTATTATTATTATTATAGCAAAATCATATTTATTTCGCACCTTATACGACTGAACTGATGAACTTCCGGCGTTTGCACCATGGTGATAAATCATTATCCAGTTGATATTAGAAATTTACTTATTAAATTTGATCAAGTCACTTACAAAGTATAATACGTTAAATAATTATCTTTTAAGATGATATTAAGCCAAACGTACCAGTAACCGACTCAAATGTTCATTTTATTATACCTGTACAGTATATTCACACTAAATTGTAAATCAAAATAAAACTCAGATTTCTGATTATTTATACTTGGGGAATTAGTTTCTTCCGCATTTTACAAAAAAGGTAAATCAAATTTTGATTATTTGTTGATATCTGTAGTTTTTCAACACTAGCATGTACTGGGGAAAATTAAAAAATCAAACCCAGGTCAAATAAGTGTCATATCAGCTGAAATATCGAATATTTTCTTTGCCCTGGTAATTTTTTTTACTAAAAACACGATTTTATCCGGTGTGCGGTCCAATGCCGTTATGATATAAAATATCTTCTTTTTTTTTTTTAAAAAATGGTGATTCAGGATTACAATATATAAGGTACGCAATAGTTGTTTCATTGTATTATTCACTAGTTAGATGTTTAAATTGCATATGAGCCGCGTCACGACAAAACCAACATAGTGGGTTTGCGACCAGCATGGATCCAGACCAGCTTGAGCCTCCGCGCAGTCTGATCGGGATCCATGCTAATCGCTTACCAACTCTATTATAAGAAGAGAAACTGATAGCGAACAGCATGGATCCTGATCAGACTGAGCGGAGGTGCAGGCTGGTCTGGATACATGCTGGTCGCAAACCCACAATGTTGGTTTTGTCGTGACACGGCTCATATATAGTTGTGTCAATGTTTTTTGTTTTATATAAGAGCATGTACTCGAAATTGCCTTACGTTTGGAGGGGAGAGACTGACATTCACACTTTTGGATTTAAAGTGGCTATCCCATGGTACTTTTAGATTTATAGACACATTAAAGTTCATGAATAGAAATAAATGGATTAAAAGAAAGTTAACAACTTCTACTACTATATCCACATAATCCCATGTGAAAGCATTGTGGGACACACAGTGTTGATGAGCTAGATAAGCCAATTACTTCTGCTGAATTAAGAAAATAAAGAAGAATAAAACTTGTGGCATGGATAGTTTGATAAACAATATACTCTTTTCTCATATGGTTGATATGTTTAATGCTATTCTAAATTCCTGACATTTTTGGATGAAAAATGTGGAGCCGTGTGACTGCGTAACGTTTACACTTGTAATTGAACATTTTTACAGGAATATTGAATAAGCGGCTTAGCGATTGGTCAGAAATTTATAACGCTATTAGTGACAGGCAATTCGGCTTACGCACGCGTCCTTCATCAATTGATGCTGTATTGTTTTAAATGCTTCATAAAAGGTTTTATGAATAGTAAAGGAAATGTATTCACATGTTAAAGTTTGTGTAAAAAGTTGTGTAATTCATATTCGGAATCCAACGAATGTGCTGTAGGCCTAAAAAAATGAGAGGTTATGTCCTCTTTGATGTTCTCCTTAATTATCGTTTCCTTGAACTATTTTTGCAAGAAAAGGATGACAGTGGTTTATCACTAGATGAGTCATACTTTTGTTATTTGAAGACGACACAGTTATTTTAGGCGATACAGTTAGCGACCTACAAAATAGCTTTAACTTGCTTTTTACATATTGTATAAGGGTCTGCGCATCCTGATACACTGTACAATACTATATGCTATTTTATATGTGAAAAAAGAGTCTCTATACACTTCATTTACTTAACTGCAATCTCTTACGCCTTTGTTACAGCTTCTCTCAATTGTGGGTGTGAAATTTGTCGTTTAATTAAATCGAAAGAAATTGAACGTAACCATTTAAAATTTTGTAATTTATATGTTGTTTTTTATTTGACTTTGTATCAAGTTGACGTTTTTCCTATGAACAACTTTTGATCTGTACATTTTTTTCACAAACAAACCAATGTTTGTAGGAAATGGGTAGGCTGGTGGCCTCTATATCAATTAAGAAGTATATTGAGCTCATTTTCCATAATGAGGTTAAAGATTTTAAAGTTATTTAAATACAAATTATATATAGAGGTCTGCTAGACAATGCTACATGACAAATATCTATTGTCATTGTAGTTTCACAAAAGAAAACTAAATGTATTTTTCTATACAAATAGATTTAAAACAAACAAAAAAAACACTGGCTAGGCCAATTTTTAACCCCCGTGGCATAATCTATATAACTTTTCAGGGACTTTTTCCATGATTTTGGGAACATGACCCATATCAATGGAATTGGAAATTCAGCGATGTTTTAAAAATAGTGATCAATGCATGACTGAAATTTTGCAGTGATTAAATGATTTCAAAACAATCATTGTCTATGATGGTATCATCAAACATTTATGCACTATTACCGTGAAGCTGCCCTTATAGACTGGTTTGATTTTGGGGAAAATGTTCATCCTAACGGCATTTTTTAGTACAAGCAGGTAGTTGGGCTTACTTCCTATTTTGAGTACGCTGAATTCATTTTTTGCTCTACCAAGGCTGTATTTTTAGTCATTGACCTTTAAAAATCAATTTCAAAATGGCCGCCATTGAATTTTTTAATTTTACTTTAATTCTCCCATGGGCGAGATATATACACAATTTGTGGCATTTTAATTAAATGCTTTGTTAATTTCAGTCTACTGAAGTGTGGACGAGAAGAAAAGATGCAAAAAAAATAAAATTTATTGCGGCAGCCATCTTGGATTTCAAAATGGCGGACAATTTCCTATGTTTTATACACTGTATTATAATTAAAGGAAACAAGCACAAGAAGGCATTTTACTAGGCATGTTTTCTTTTATTAGAAGTGCAGTAAAATTAAGTAAGACTTCCAAGCAAAGACTTTGAAAAACATCCACTAAAACTACAAACTTAATGGTGCAAAAAGGTCACAATTTATACACTAATACAACGTAAATGAGAGTCATATTTGCGTTCACTTTTGTCATTTAGATGTTTTTTATACTTCTAAGAATACAATGCATGTTTTTTAAATTATTGCGATGTTTTTTAATTTTTTAAAACTATCGTCCTGAGGGGGACCTGCTCAAATATCTGTCCGTCTGTCTATCTGTCCGAGCGTCCTCTTGTGTCAGTTAGGCGATCACAATTTGGCTTTTAGATGAATTCCGTATACCCCCGACCTATAGAATGAATCATTGATTATGGGAGGCAAAAGGCTGCTTTTTGAGTAAAAAACAAAAATTAAGATAACAGACATCTTCACAAATCTCCCAGTAAGCGCTTGTCCTTGTCAGTCCGTTTTTAATCCCGTCCATTTTTGGATAGATTTTGAAATAAATTGCATTAATGTGTGGCACATTGATACAATGTCATAAGAAAGACCCAGGTGTGACGCTCAACTCCTCAAGTTAGACTTGAAGGTGCTTGAATAAAGATGTGCATTTTAGTATTCTGTCATTTAAAGGTGAATTTTGAAATAGTTAAGCATAAATATACGGCCTATAACGGATTGAGAAATGATATACTTTAAATTATTACTTAATCTTCAAACAGGGATACCATGAAAATTGTTGTTTATTGCTTATGTCAATGTCAATTGCGCAAGAACATGTACTGGGACGTGTAATGCTTGAGAACCAATTCAAAGTCCAAAGATCAGGATCATGTCTATCAAGAAAGGCAATTTTGTAAAAGTGCATAAGTGGGGAACCCGGTCAACAATTTTTCATACACGACCTGATATTTAAAAAAAGTATTTCCAAAAGTAATATAAGAATTGCCATCCAGGCTAGCATTCGAAAAAAAAAATTCATGAATTAGACTACTTTCCTGAATAATAGAGTTGAAGTTTCTTCTTGTAAGAGAAATATTCCATATGGTGTTTATCCCATAGAAGCCTCTACATACTAGTGCCGAGCTTCCTGCATGAGGATAGTATTTCATTTGCTAATATGTATCTGTATCTGTGTCTGTGAGGGTACGTCGTAGAGACCAAAATCTGGCTTTAACACGACGGTGAAGGGAGTGCGCCTTACTCACAAAGTTTTATAGAGTTTTTAAATTGTTGAACTGTTGATGAACACACTTGAGAGTCACTTAATTTATTCCAGTCTAACACTGTTCTGATGAAGAAAGAATTTTTATAGTTTTCTGTTTTTACATATACTGGTTTGTAACACTTTTGATTATTACACACAGATTTTTCCACAATATTATCACTTATATAGTCTTTATATGATTTAGCTCTTACAGATCGTCTAATGCCCTGAGGAGTTAGGTATTCCCGTATGTTAATTGCCGGTACTTGCCCTTCCACTACCTTGTACATGAAAGTAAGCCGGTGTAGTCTTCTGCGCTCTTGGAGGCTTGGTAATTCCAATTGTTCCAGCATTGATGTAACGCATCCTGGATCCCTAGAAGTATAGTTATTAGTAATAAATCGAGCGGCTT